CATAGCTTTCTAGAGCCAATTTGTGAAGTTTGAGTTGTTCTTGAGCGTATATAGTTTACTCAACATCTACTCTTAAAGAGAGTCTTGTTCTTGAGTGTTCTTAGTGTTGTAAACACGTTTAGGGAAGCTTGTTTCCCTTGGTTGTACGAAGGAAAGGTATTTTCCTTCGGGTTGAAGTCTTGGAGTGCGGTATCTCCGAGCAAGTGTATTGAGGCTCGTGGGACTCGAGTTCTCAGGTTGTAACGGTTTGTTAAGCACCCGTAAGCTTAACGGAAGTAGTGTAGCTCGAGAGAGTCTCTCGGGAGGCTGGATTAGCCACAAGTTGTGGTGAACAGGGGTAAATCTTGGTGTGCTCCCTTTACTCCTTTTTATTCCGCTCTTTACTTTATCCCTGCGATTTTTATTCCACAAAAATTTATAAACATTCTCGTGCCTCACTATTCACCCCCCCTCTAGTAAAGGGCACTTATTCTAACAATTGGTATCAGAGCCTAACTCTCTACAAGCCTTAACCGGTTGAGAGAACGATCTATATTTTTTTGTTGAGAATGTCGTATGCAGAATTAAGTGAAGGACACTCCACCGTTAGACCTCCACTCTTCGATGGAACAAACTACACCTATTGGAAGGAACGAATGAGGATTTACATTCGGTCAATCAACTTCCAACTATGGTTAATAATCAAAAACGGTGAGACGATGCCAATGAAAAAGGTTGGTGAAACCACCATCCCAAAGAAGGAGGAAGAATATGATGCTGAAGACATCAAGAAGGTAGAAGCTTTTGAAAAAGCTAAACACATGATTTTTTGTGCAATTAATCCGGATGACTACCGGAAAATTTCTTCTTGCTCCATCGCAAAAGAAATGTGGGATAAGCTTGAAGTGACATACGAAGGTACGCCTCAAGTCCGTGAAGCTAAAATTGATTTTCTAACCCATGAATATGAGTTGTTTAAAATGAAGGAAATTGAAAGCGTGTATTTATAATTTTTTTAGTTTTGGCCTCGAGCTCTAGTGGTACCATCACATTTTTGGAAAAATTTTAAAATCATCAAAAAAATTTCCCGAATTTTAAATGGATATTTCTATTTGCATGTAAAATCCTTTGTAAAAGTTTCATGTCAAAAAAACATGTCAGTAATGTATAAATTATAATTTTTTCAATTTTAGCCTCGAGCTCTTGAGGTACCATCACATTTTTTGGCCAAATTTTTAAATTCATCCAAAAATTTCCCAAATTTGACATGGATATTTCTATTTAGGGTTTAGGGTTTAGGGTTTAGGGTTTTAGGGTTTTAGGGTTTTAGGGTTTTAGGGTTTAGGGTTTAGGGTTTAGGGTTTAGGGTT